CCTCCCAGCTCTGACGCTTTGTGTCCTAAGGGCCCTCCCAGCTCTGACACTTTGTGTCCTAAGGGTCCTGCCGGCTCTGACATTCTGGGTTCTAAGGGCCCGTCTGGCTCTGATATCATATGTTCTAAGGGCTCTTTTGGCTCTGACAACCTGGGTTCTAAGGGTCCTCCCGGCTCTGACATTCTGGGTTCTAAGGGCCCTCCCAACTCTACCATTCCATGTTCTAAATTTCCTCTCTACCTGAAATCCTATGGCTTTTAGACTGTGGACTCTGCCATTTCTAGTATTTTGGAGCCCAGCTTGCTTACAGCTTACTCTGTGACCTTAGGCAGGTCTTCATTGCCTATCTGTAAAACGATGGGGAGAGAGGATCTCGTTTCCACCAGCAGCACTGTGTGACTTTCCATCATCAGGCCCTCCCAGGTAGACCTGCTCCTCATCTTAGACCAGCTTGCTCCAAGTCTTACACCTGAATAGATTCTTTGCGAGGTCCCAGAGCAGGGACCAGCTTGGTGGAGAGCTGGGTCTGTGGATGCGGATGTGCTTCTTCTTGACTTCCTTCTGAGGGATCTCCTTCCTGGCCAGGGAGAGTTGGGAGTCTTCCTTGGGGGGAGCCTGTGTCTTCTGTCCTACTTTAGGAAGGGGTAAGTGGGCTTTGGCCATATGCCAGAACCCACCCTTCTGGTTCCTTCAGGACGGATGTGTCGCTAGCCCTGTGTGACTTACCTGACTGATGACTCTCCCCTCAACAGATATCCATGAGTCTCCCATCCTGGAGGAGGAAGATGAAGACGTGGACCCCATCCTGGCCAGCTCAGCTACCACCATCGCTACCTCAGAGCAGAGTACAGGGTCATGTGACACGAGCCCAGACATCATTTCCCCAGTCCTGAGCCCTGACTTTGAAGATTTATCCCAAGGTCGGCTGGACTCCCCAGCTGTGAATGGGGAGAGCCTGACAGGTGATGATGATGATGATGATGATGATGATGGTGATGGTGGTGGTGGTGGTGAGAGGGCCCGGGAGTAGGAGGGGGCTACTTTCTACGCCAGGTCCCAAGGAGTCAGTGCACCGTAACTGTGCAAAGTAGGGCCTTCCCGCCTTCCAGCATCCTGGAAATGTGGTCCTGGCTGGTCGCCCCACAGCTTAGAACAACGAACCTAGGGGAGACAGCTCCAGAAAGGATTCTTATCTGGTCTTTGGGGGCCATGGAGCCACGGTCGTGGCATGAAGCCAGGGATGGGGGGGTAGGCCAGTCTTGTTGGGGGATGGTCACACTGTGGGTTTCCCCAGCTTTGTTTTGCTAATGCTTTTTTGCTGGTATCTTCTCGCCAAATTGCTTTCCTTCCTGACCCCCACCCCCAGTTCCTAATGTTTCTGCATATATGAAGCCAAGCCTGGGCTTTTCCAGACCTACTTCTCGGGGTTTTGACATCCACAGGTTTGTTCAGAGCCCCGTGTGAGGAAGGAGGCTCATGGACTTGACGGGGCAGTGTCCTGTGCCCGTCTTAGCCCTGGCTCAGAGGCTGTTTCCCAACAATTCTGTGAAGTAGTTTTTGTTAGGAAACCCAGAGCCAGGCCTGAGTCTGAGAGGCCCAGTAGTTGTGCTTACACTAAACCTCCTTGGCAGTAGACACACACACACATGCACTCACACGCGCACACACACACACACACACACACACACCCCTCCATCCATCCACACTCACACACAGGCACATGTAGCACATTATCAGGCAGACACATGCTGATATGGGTATTCATGCTCACACAGGCACAAACAACATTTACACAGATTAAGCACCAAGTATTTTTTTCTGTTGGCACCCTTAGGGCTTTTTTGAAACAAGTAATATTTCTGAGACGGAAATTCAAAGAAAGTTGTTTACTCTCATGGACAGTGTTTGAGCAGAGAGCAGCGACCATATATTTCCCTGTCAAGAGAGGAGAAGGTACCACCAAGCTGCTGCCTCCTCATCCTCCTCCACCCCCCTCCAGGGCCCTCAGCCCACTGGGTAGGGACATCTTTGGAAATAAAAGTTTAATTGACTATTTTTGTACCCTAAGTTTACACGTACTATGGGGGAAATAAAATTCTCTGTTGCTATGAGGTTCAGTCTGAACCGTGTATCCTGCCTCCTTCCTGCAATGTGGGCCAGGGGAGGGTGGGGCAAACAGGTGTTGGGGAATGGGTAAAAAGGGGCAGTTCTGGGCTGTGGGCAGAGCAATGGGACCAGAGGGAGCTACGGCCTTTGGAGCTCCCGGTAAAGTGCTGGGGACAGTAGTAGCAGCAGCAGCTGGAAGGAAGGCCGAAGGTTGAGCTTTCAAACCCTGAAGAGTTGGTAAATATGGGTGTCACTGCTTGGTGTGTGATCTGGCCAAGGCCCCAAGTGCCAAACTGGAGTTAGGAGCTGGCAGTCCAGCCACTATGAGGCCTTTTACTGAACTGTTGTGGGAGATTAGGCTGGACAGGTAAATTGAGGCCAGGGGATTAATCAGCAGGAAGTACCTGGCACTGTGCTCCGTAGAGGAAGAAGGAATAGGAACTGGGACCTGGGATTTCACTGCTTCTAGGAATTCGTGGGTCAGGAGATTCCAGGTCTTCACCTTTTCTGTAACTTAAAGCCTTTGAGAGTTGCTTGGGGGTGAATTTTCAGCTTCCTGGACAGGGGACACTACCCAGGGGTCAGTCCCTAACTTCCGAGAGCTTACACCAAGAGGGGAAGGGAGGGAATACAACACGTGCGTAATTAATCAAATACAGGCTCTTTCCACAAGGTGAATGGAATCCTTGACCTAACCACTGTGGGGAGGGGGGAGGCCTCTTGGAGGCAGTGCAGCTTGGGGTGAACCTTGAAGGGGGAGGGCTGGGAGTCCAGGAAGAGGGGTCATGAGGGAAGGCATTCCAGGGTCTGAATGCCAGATTGAGGAGTCTGGATCTCCCCTGATCTACTGGGAATTATGTCCTGAGCAGGGGAAGGATCCTTGTGGTCACAGGTGGGCTTTGGGGAGGTGACTAAGGGAGGTGAGAGCTATGCAAGGGATAGTGATTGGAGGGGTAGGGAGGCCATCATTTAGAATTTGAGAACTGGGAGGGCTCTCAGGGGCCATCCGGCCCCAACTCCCTCGTTTTACAGGTGGGGAAACCAAGGCTGAGACTAGGGGTGTTCCAGTGACTCAGTGGCAGAGGGGTTCAGAGGAGCAGCAGTTCCTGCCTGGAATGGGAGGTGATGTCGGAGCACTTCATTGTAGGGATGGGCTTGGAGTGGCTTCTTCACCCTTCCTCCTCCCCCCCCTTCAGCAGAGTTGTGGGGAGACCATGCTTCTTTCACCTCCCATTCAGCCACCTTCTAGGAAGCCCAGCCTACCTTAGAGCAAGGGCATCTTGCCATCTGCCTTATGGCTACCCTATTCCCCTAGGAATATTAGCTGGCACCTTCAGTGTGACTTCGAAGGTTTAACAGGCTGGGGTTGAGCTCTCCTGATTAGAGGGCGAGTGAGTGACAGCTTCTCTAATCTTATGGTTCTTGCTGGCCCCAGACCATGTTTCATGACCCAGCCATGCCATTCACCTGGAAACCAGGGCTTACCCAACAGAGGCATCTTGCCATGTACCCTACTGATTCTCATGTAGCCATTCCCCTATTAGATAGGCTCATCTATCTTTCCAGTCCGGTGACCCATCATTTCCCTTCACAGGCAATACAGTCCAGCCAAACTGGCCACCTTATTGGCCTCACAAAGGGGCACTTACCTGAAATCCCACTTTCTGTAGGATACCTTTCCCTCTTCCCTCCCCATCAAACAATTTCTCCCTCCATCAGAACAAATTACACAATAACAACATAAAGACAAGCAATTTTGAAAGACTTAGGAACTCTGATGAAGCCAATAATCAACTACTCCAGAAGATGCATGAAACAATCTTCTGATAGCAAGGTGAAGAAGGGCTCAGAGTGCAGATTGAGACTTTTTTTTGAAAATGGCCAATGTGGGAATTTGTTTTGCTTGACTATGTCTTTATAACTGAGGCTTTGTTTTTCTTACTTTCTTAATGGGGAGGAGTTGAGGGAATAAAGGTGAGAGGGAGAAGAGAACCCCCAAATAAAGTAAAATTTAAAAATGTTTTTAAATGGGATAATTATTTTTCATTTATACTATTTATCTTATATAGAACAGTGCCTGGCACATAGTAAGAACTTAAGATTTGTTGATTTGATTTGTATGTATATAGTTATTTGTATGTTATCTCTTCCATTAGATTGTGAGCTCCAGGAGTAGGGACCCATTTCTTTTTTAATTTTTAATTTTAATTTTTTGCCTTTCTTTGTGTCACACCCTTCCCCCTTAGGACTTAGCATAGTGCTGCTCAACATAGTAAGAACTCATTACTTGTTGACTGACTGGAGAGCAGTCCATTTTCCCTCTCCATACTTTTTCATTGCTAGTCCAGTTTCCTCACCCCCAAGCCTTGCCTGGAATACACTGTAGCCACCAGCTTCTTTCAAGGCTAAGTATGCATGTTACCTTCTACACGGAGTCTTTCCTGATTCTCCCCACCTGCTAGTGCTTACCCCCTACAGTTATGTTGTAACTGTTTACCATCCAGCTCTACAGGGACTGCACTTTTCTTCATTGCTTTCTGAAGTCTAGACAGCCAACAACAAAAAAAATCAAGCCTTGATTGGTAGTACTTGGGCATTTCTCAGGTGTGAATGCTCACCCTGAAAATCTCCTAGCTAGCTCCTGCTACCCCTATAAAATTATCATGCCAATTTCGCATCTATCTCTTATATATTTATGTTTTCTCTCCTTAATTAGATTGTAAACCAATAGAGGGCAGGGATTAAGGTTCACTTTTGTCTTTGTATTCCTAAACATGGTTCCCGGTAAATATTAGTAGCTTAGCAGATAAATGCTTGTTCATAGATCAGCAAGCACTCCCAGAAAAGTCCCCCTTCAAGAAATGGAGATCTGAGTTGGAAGCATGCATTGGTAACTCTTAGATTTGCACGTAGAGGTGCCGGGTCTGAATCCTTGTTTTGCCAATATGACCTTGGTGAAGTCACTTACTCCCTCGCCTCAGTTTCCTCATCTGTAAAATGAGGAGAATTGGGGTAAATGACCTCTTATTAGGGGTTGTGTACTGTGAGACAGCACTGGACTTGGATTTAAATCTAACCCGAGTCTGGGACAAGTCATTTATTTCCAGGGTCTCAGTTTCTTCATCTGTAGAACGAGGAGCGCGTACCCAGCGGATTATAAGGCTCCCTCCAGCTTTAAAATCTGATTCTATGATCTCACGCTGCTTTGGGAGGCTTCTCACGTGCACTCGCAGTTCTACAGGGCGGAAGTCCTCCGCCAGGACGTGGGCTGGCGTCACACGCCCGCCTCAAAGATGGCCGCAGCGGGAGCGGAAACGAGGCCGAGGGGCGGGGCTTTGCGCGATTGTGACGTGCGGCTCCCCGCGGCGGGGTGGGGCTTGGGCGCGCAGGCGTGGAAAGGCAGCCAAGGAGCGGTTTCCGCTTCCGGTGGCCTCTTTCTCTTCAGCGAGGTGGCCGAGCGGGTGCGTGTACCTAACCGGGGTGGGGGTCGGCGGCGGGGCCGGGGGCACGAAGCCGGGTCTAGGAACCGGGCCCAGGGGAAGGCGGCGACGCGGGGAAGTTGGGCCGTTTCCGAGGAAGCGCAGAGGCAGGGCCCGGGTGTGGAGGCCGAGGCCGCGCCGGGCCTGGTGGCGCGAAGGCCCTTCTAGGCCTGGGGGCACGGGGGGCGAGCAGGGACAGCGCTGGCCCAGGCCCGGGTGCTTTCTCTTGGACCTTCTCTCTCCACTCGAGACTATCCAGCCTCTTCTTGGAGCCCTCCAGGGCCGAGGAGATCACTCCCTGCCAAGGCAGTCCATTCCACTTCGGGACAGCTCCTTGGGATGGTTAAGCAGTTGGTTGGAAGGACAAATGTGGCCTCAGCCAGCCCTGGGCCTCCCTGGCTGTGCCTTCTCCGTGCTTGGGTGTGCTTGCTATCGCTGCCAGCACCTTTTTTCTACACAGATGAGTCATTGGTGAAATCACCAGACCCACGCTTCTCCCTCCTAGAATGCACGATGGAGAAGCGGGGTTCAGGCCGCCGAGGGGAGAGGGTCCTTAGCAATGTGCCCGCCACTCCCGTAAAATGAGGGGTTGTCCCTCCCATCAGTGCCTCTGTGGTCAAGCCAGGCTGGATTGGTGTAAGGGCGAATGACAGGGTTGGAAAAGGACGTCCGGGGGACTGAAACCAAGGGTGTCTGAGCAGGAACCCCTTCTGTATCCTGGGGGAAGAGTTGAGGAGCAAGTGCTGACTGGTAGTAAATGTAGAAAAGCTGTGCTTGGGGGGGGGGGGTCAGATAATAAAGAGAATTTAGAGCTGAACCTTAGTGGTTGTCCAGTCTGTTACTCCTCACTCACACACTTAAAGAGCTAAGGAAACCAGAGAGGTTAAGTAATTTACTGGGAACACAGGTAGATTTGAATTCAAGTCATTTAACTCCAAATTTAGTTTCCACGGTAGCATTCTGTCTCTTTTTCTCACTATAAAAACTTAAAATAGGTAAAAACTTGGTGTCAAATTTCAAGGACAATCCTGAACTGCTTAGAGCTGGGTTGTCTGAGAGATTGAGGCAAATCTCTGTGGAAAAGCCAGAACCCTAGTCCCAGAGGACTGAGAGTCATATAGGCTATCAGGGGGTGTCTGGTTCATGGGGTTGGAGAGGCGCAGAAACCTTGCAGCTGGACCTAGATGAGGAGAGGCCAGGACTTTTCCAGCAAACAAAAGATAAAGAAGCTGGGTTAGGGCCAAAGTAGAGAGAAGGTCCTTAATGAGAGGCTGCACCAAGTGAAACTCGGGAAGAACTGAAAGACCAGGGCAGTGAGTAAACGATTGACTGGTTATATCAGTGGCAGCTCAGAGTGGTGGCTGGTAAAATTGCCGGGCACTCACTGCGTCCTGTCCAAACCTTCCAGCGGGCGCAGTGTTGCAGAGATGCAGATCTTTGTGAAGACCCTGACAGGCAAGACTATCACTCTCGAGGTTGAACCCAGTGATACTATCGAGAATGTCAAAGCCAAAATCCAGGACAAGGAAGGTGAGTGTG